GAGGGTCTGCTGTTCTCCGTGCCTAGTTTCACTCCTGTGGCTGTGTTTGCGCAGGGGAGGGGTACTGGAGGGTGCAGTGTTGTATGGCTCTGTGCCCACCAAGGTTCCAACTGCAATGCCCATCTGGTGAGAGGAGGGGGGAAAAAGTGCACTTCCCCACTGAAGCTGTGGCAAGGCGGGGCGAATGCACAGGCACACTTGCGGGGCTAAGAAGGCAAAGCCTGCGTGTGCAGACATGGGCCTGCAAAGTGATGCAGGTGGGAGGTGGGGGGTTGCTGTGTATCTGAGGGATGCTGCAGTGTGGAGAGGGAGCAGGCCGGCTGGTGCATGACCATAGCGGCTGCCTCTCTGGGGCTTTCTGCCGGTTAGGCACAGTTTGCCAGTGCAGGAGCTATGATGTGGGACCCAGCGCACCTGAGGTTCCCCAGCAGACCAAGGAGTGCTCAGGTCAGACCAGTTCTGTTTGGTGGGCAAGACCACCCTGTAAAGTTTAGGTCCTATAGTTCCCCTAGGGCTAAAATCTCCTGTAGGAACAAGTCGAGCCTAGGGGGATGGGCGTCCTTGGCTGTGTTCTGTTACAGATGTTTCCGTACCAATCCCTTTGGCCTACACATCAGCTGTTGTGCTGGCCCCTACCACTTCTCTAAGCAGCTCTTTCTGCCAACTTGAGTGTCCATGGTGGTTGAGGGGTCTCCTCTGTCAGAATTCCTGAGGCCCATGGTGAAAGCGGGTTGCTCCTTGCCAGTTCAACTCACCCATTCCCCCAGAGTTGTTGGGGTCTGGGAGTGAGTCCCAGTGCATGACAATCCCATGCAGGGTTCTCAGCTTCCTCCCACTTCAGCCCAGCTTCTGTGTCTTCCTTCTGTCCACTCTCAGTATCTTCCCCCTGAAGATCTGTTAAGAGTGTGCCGGTCATCTCAGTCCGGCAGTGAAGGCTGTTCCACCTGGCTGTGTCTAGTAGGATATCTTGCCCAGCGAAGTCTTCATGCACAGTCTTTAAAAATTTGTTTATGGCCGGGCGCGGTGGCTCAAGCCTGTAATCCCAGCACTTTGGGAGGCCGAGACGGGCGGATCACGAGGTCAGGAGATCGAGACCATCCTGGCTAACACGGTGAAACCCCGTCTCTATTAAGAAATACAAAAAACTAGCCGGGCGAGGTGGCGGGCGCTTGTAGTCCCAGCTACTCGGGAGCCTGAGGCCGGAGAATGGCGTGAACCCGGGAGGCGGAGCTTGCAGTGAGCTGAGATCCCGCCACTGCACTCCAGTCTGGGCGACAGAGCGAGACTCCGTCTCAAAAAAAAAAAAAAAAAAAAAAAAAAAAAAAAAAAAAAAATTTGTTCATGTAGTTGAATTTATTTTGCATTATAATTAGGAAAGTTTTTCCCTCATCACTTGTGTTTCTTCTAGTACTTTTATCATTTCTCTTTTTTATAAAATTTTCTACATTTGGATCTCTGATCTTTTTAGAAGTATATTACTGTACAGATAGGCTAAAATTTGGATCAAATTTTAGACTTTCATTTTGTTGTATCTGCATATTGCCAATATCATCACACTGTTTTAACTATTATGATGTTTTTAGAATGTATACCTCAATAGCTTTCTTTTTTCCTGAAGTATGAATAATTATTAATTATTATTTTTTCTCACTCATGTATATCTGATTAGTCTTGATTATTATTCTTGCTCATGTAGTCTGTAGTTAATGGAATAATGGCCCAGCCTCTCAGTCCTCTGTCAGGATGATTCTAGGGCATCTTCCACTTCCCAGATAGTTCTGAACAGGCTTACATCCCAGTTGCCTACGCTATTATTGTTCTCATTAACACCTGAATTATTGGCTGCTTTTCTCCCTTTTTGGTCCTACTTCCTCACTGTGCCTCCTACAGTTGCCTTCCAAATAAAGTACAAGTCTTTCCCTAGAGGTCTGCTTTTGGGAAATCCAAACTAAGAAAGAGTCATTTTTGGATTTTGACCTAGATGTAAAAGATATCAAACATTGTTACCCAAGTATGTTATATATTTGTGTGTGGAGGTTGCGAAAGAGAGGAGAAAGTAATGTCCTGTCCTAATTTAGCTGTTCAGAATGTAAGGTTTTAGCTTCTTTTCCTGATTATTGCCCCATGGCCCGTATCTGTTCTTTATATTCTTTAGACTTGAAACAGTTCTGAAATGCTCTTGAGAAGAATGGATGTCATCTCCCAAGATTTGGGTTGAAGCTCCCTCTTATCTATTTTCTCCATTAATTCAATCCTATCTGTTTTATAGTTTCCAGGATTTTCTCAAGCTTTTCATATACTGCTGGCTTCCTCTCTTTCTTTCTTCAGTGTCTGGATGTATATGTATATATCTATATTGTTGAAGCAAAATTTATTTGACATATTTACTGAAGAAAATTTAAAAATACATTACTCATTAATGAAGGAGTCAGTAATTAGATCATTTGAGACAAATACAAAATAACCAGGAAGAAAATTAGCTTACATACATCAAGTTTCTAAGTAGGCACAGACTGCTATTTCACTTCATATGGCCATAAAAATATCCCATGCTTATTAATGCTACGGAGGACTAAATTTGTGGAATGGATGAATTAGAGCTATTTTCTACTTGCCAGATGTCAACCAGTAATTGGAAATAAAAAGTAACATATCTGAGAAGAAAACAAAATGTGAATGAATCTCTGACTAATAATTCAATATACTTAGCAACAGTTTTGGTCTTTTAAATCATCTGACAAAAGGCCAATTAGAACAGAGGCAACAGTGAGAGGTCAGCACAGTTAGGACTATTCACCACCCGCAAGCAAAGATGCTGACCATACAGTTGCATAATTCCGTTTAGAGACAAAATCTATCTCTCAATCTCCCTGTCTCTCTCTTATCTCTCTCCCTCCATTTCTTTGGTTTAGTGAGTCTGCTCACCCTGCCATTTTCTACACATAATATATAAAATTTTATATTCTACTGTTTTACCAAAAGTCATTTAGTAAATATTTCCTCTGATATTACATACTTTTAATATTCATTAGTTTTAAAGACAAATAATAATCCATACAGTGACTATATCATTGTTTATGTATTCACCTGCAAAGGTGTTTTTTGCCCTTTGAAATTAATAAGTGACCTGTGAAGTGATATTTTGAAAGTATAAATATGCTATTCCTCATTAATTTTTCACCTATGACTTTATCATGCATTCATGAAACTGGCCTAAATCAGCTATTACTATGGGAGTTACAAACGTTTATGCTTTGTTTCTAACTACACTTATTAGTTGGTGTTCTTCTGTGGAGAAGAGCTTTCCTTTCCCCATTTTTATTTTAATTTCGTATTGGTATAGGTTCATGAATTTAAAAAAATTAATGTGTTATAATATATTCCAGTAATTATTTATTTTAATTATCAAGTTCTCATAAGCTTCCATTGCTTTTAAAAAACTCTTTTTACTTTAAAGGCCGGATGTGGTGGCTCATGGCTGTAATCCCAGCACTTTGGGAGGCCGAGGTGGGTGGATAACAAGGTCAGGAGATCAAGACCATCCTGGCTAACATGGTCAAACCCCAGCTGTACTAAAAATACAAAAAATAGCCTGGCGTGGTGGTGCACACCTGTAATCCCAGCTACTCAGGAGGCTGAAGTAGGAGAATCGCTTGGACCTGGGAGGCAGAGGTTGCAGTGAGCCACAATCACACCACTGCACTCCAGCCTGGGCGACAGAGTGAGACTCTGTCTCAAAAAAAAAAAAGTAAAAAAAAAAATGTATATTTAAGGCATGCAACATGATGTTTCGAATATATATACACAGTGACTTGAGTACTACAGCCAAGCTAATCAACATATCCATCTTTTGACATACTTTATTTATTTATTTATTTTTGAGATAGAGTCTTGCTCTGTCCTCCAGGCTGGAGTGCAGTGTGCGATCTTGGCTCACTGCAACCTCTGCCTCCCATGTTTAAGTGATTCTTGTGCCTGAGCCACCTGAGTGGCTGGGATTATAGGTGCATGCCACCACTCCCAGCTAATTTTTGTAGAGACAGGGTTTTGCTATGTTGGTCCAGGTTGGTCTTGAGCTCCTGGCCTCAAGAGATCCACCTGCCTTGGCTTCCCAAAGAGCTGGCATTACAGGTGTGAGCCACCATGCACAGTCAGTTACCTATTTTTTTTTTCTTTTAAGACAGTGTGAATTCTTAAGACCTAGTCTCTTAGCAAATTCTAAGCATATAATACAGTATTATTAGCTGTAGTCCATGTGCTGCATTTGAACTTACTCATTCTATGTAACTGAAACTTTGCACCCTTTGACAAGCATCTCCCCATTTCCTCCACCTCCTGCCCTTGATAACCACCATTTTATGCCGTTTCTAGTTTGAGTTTTTTAGATTCCACATATAAGTAGGATTATGCAGTGCTTTTCTTTCTGTGTCTGATTTATTTCACTTAACATGATGTTCTCCACATTCATCCACATTTTCTCATATGGCAGAATTTCCTTCTTTTTAAAGATTAAATAGTATTCCATTTTGTGTGTGTGTGTGAGAGATTTATTTATTTATTTATTTATACATTTATACATATACTGACAGGCTGTTTTCATATTTTGGCTATTGTGAATAATGTGGTAATAAACATGGGAGTGCAGGTATATCTTCTTAATTTTTTATTTTTAATTTTTGTGAGTACATAGTAGTTGTATATATTTATATCTTTGAGATACTGATTTCACTTCCTTTGGATATATATGCATAAGATAGATTGCTGGATTATATCTATTCTGGCCCTTTGTTCCTTTAACATTTGCAGTATTTTAAGTTTTTTTTTTTGGTTGTCTATTTGGTTAGGTATTGTGTACACTTAGCCTGTGGACTTTTGTTCCAACTCAGTAGATTTTTTCCAGTGAAACACAAAGGTAATTTTTTTCTGGTTAATAATTAGCAAGAAATCTGCAGAGTGATAAAAAAATCAAATACTCAGTATTTCAGAAATAGATTAAATAGGTTACTTTTTTACTGGTAATGTGAAAGAATAATATAAAAACTTGATTTTCCTCAACAACATTACTTTCTTTTGTAAATGTGGTTTCTAGAAAGATGAAACAATTAAAACTTACAGGTTTTATTTTTTTCTTGTGTTTTTTGACTGAATCCCTAACTCTGCCCACACAACCTCAGGATGTAGGTAAGTAATTTATTTGTATATCAGCTAAAGAATGACCAGTTAGGATGTCTCTTTTGAAAATTTTGTTTTCTTTCAAGTTAATTCTTTACTTGCTTTTTTCACCCTCTCACTAATTTACATAGACTAACCAGTTATCCAAAATTAACCTTTTCAGAATTTTTATTTTGATGGTAATTTTTATATTACCAAGTCAATATGAAGAAACAATTGTCACATCTGAAAAATAATCAGCAGTCTATGACAGGACAGAAAGTGTTGCTGGGAGACACATTTGGATTTTAATATTGGTATTTTTTGCAAATATGTATAGTTTATGGTAACAGTGGAACAATAGATGTGAACTGGGATTTTTCTGGAACCTTCGGTTGTCCAACATATTTCCCAACTATATCTTTAGGGAATGCAGAACCTACTTCCTCCTTCAAATGTACAGTTTGAACATCCCTCTTGAGCCTGGCCAAGGCCATCTCAGTCTGGAGGAAAGGATGACTTTTTATATTTCTTCCATCCAAAGGGGAAATATTTTGAACCTCATCTGTCAAGAGGAGGTGTCTTTTTCTAATCCTTTTGGCCTAGAAGGAGCTCCTTTCTTTGACTTGAACAAACATGCCTTAAGCTTGGCAGTGGCCCTGAAGGCATGGATTGCGTCTTACTCAATTCCATATGCCCCTACAATACCAGCTAGTGAGACAGGCTTGAAGAGTGGTCATTTTTGAGTTTTCCTACTCCTTTTCCCTTGTAACAACCTGTTTCAAAATCTTGATTTTTTGCCTTTTTAATATCTTTTATATCTATATTTTCCTTTTCATTTCCCTTACTCCTACCAAAATTTAGATCTTGTTGGTTTCTCAATGTGACAGTTGCAAAGTCTCCTATGGCCTTCTTACTTTGTCCCATCCACCCTTCTTTTGCCCATTTATTTGACACATAGTTCTTTCTTACCTTTTCTGTTTGTCAGGCACTGTGGAAAATTCCATGACATTAGATATACTACTACCTGACTCGTATTTCTTCGTGTATAGAAATGATCAGATTACTATCCTATATAAACATTTTCCAGGGCTTTCCATGTCTTCCAAATGAAGCCCACACTCCTCAGCTTTATATGCAAGACTCCTATAATCTGGACCCAGGTCTTTTCTATCTTAGGTCCCTATTCATCTTTGTGACCCACTTTCTCATAAAAACAGATTGACTTTCTCTAAATACTTCTCAAGGTTTCTTACCTTAATGCTTTTACTCACATCATTCTCTCTCCATACAGACAGACAAGGTTTTTCATTTTTCTGTTATTCGAATCTCTTACATTTACTCATGTTCAACTCATATGTCACTCTTCCTATAATCCTTTTTTTTTCTTTCTTTCTCACCCAGGATTCATAAAGCAGTCCCAAATTAATCACATTCTAAATTAGATTATTGTCATATGCACAAGTAACTTTGCTTAGGAACCTAATGTCAAGGGGAGATATCTTAGTCATTGTTAATTGCTTCATAGGGTCCAGCACAACACTTTGCAAAAAATAAATGTAGTTTATGTGAACAAACATAAATATGCTCCAATTAGCATATGCTCATTGGGAGGGAATCCATAATTTTAGGTGGATCTGGAGATGACCTACATAGCTATGACTGATTAGTGCTATAAACTATGCTGACCACCAGCATGCTACAGCATCTCTCATCAGGCTCTGTTACAGCATTGTATCACCCATTAGTTAATCTTTTTATCACTTCTCTAGTCATAAATGATAGACATTTAGGATGATAATCTATTTGACATTTGTATGTGGGGAGCCGTCAATGGCAAATTTAAAGTCTAGTCAGATTAAGATTTATTTAGATGAATTCAATTTAGTAAATATTTCTTGAACATATAATCACAAGTGACTAAGGTTTCCTATTTTGTTCATATGACTTACTTGTTTCTTGTTAAATATGCAAAACTATTTCCTGTCATCAGTGGTCTATTTTGTATTTTATACACTTAAATGTCGTGTATAGTTATTTATTTGAAAAATGTTAGAAAACCGTGTTATGTAATACCCTAAATATTCTTGCTTTTCAGATAACTTCAGTAGCACTCAAAAATTTATAGAAGAGAATCTTGAATACATGTGAGTTGTGCTAAGTACTTTTTGATGATGATTTTTAAAATAATGATATATTTTGGAAATGTTAATGCTTCTCAAAAGTAATTTAACTAAACAGAAACAGTATCCAAGAAGACAGCTTTAATTATAAAATTCAGGCAAAGCCTGAAGTTGTAAAATTTACAGCCGTTACAATAGATAACTCCTTGAGGCCAGTCAGGATGTTCCTGTGACTTTTTGTTGGCCATATATGGAAACTCTGCCACTGTTTATACCCCATGTGAACTCTTGCAGCACCATCATTGCATTCGCTCAGTATGTCCAGGAAGCAACCTTTGAAGAAATGGAAAAACTAGTGAAAGACATGGTAGAATACAAAGACAGATGTATGGCTGACAAGACACTCCCAGAGTGTTCAAAATTACCTGTAAGTAAATTGCATGTGTTTCTTTTCCTTTTTTCTTTTCTTTCTTCTCCTCCTCCTCCTCCTGCTCTTCCTCCTCCT